TAAAGAACAGGCCGAAGCTTGATCCGCAAGACCCCGAGTACTACGACGACATGCCGATACCCAACGAGGATGAGAAGATGGAGGAAGCAACGCCAGCCAGAAGAAAGCCACGACGAAAGAGGGGACCTTCAGAATTGGACAGATCGCCCTCCTATAACGTCCTAAAGGATATCCTAGCAACACCTGCCAATGCTACGATAGGACAGATGTTATAGTTTTCAGAACAAAGAGAATACTGGCAAAGGCAATGAGAAGACCGCTCGTTCCAGTAGAAACCAACTATGTGGAAGTCAAAGAAAAAGAAACAACCGCGATGAAATGTCAAATAAAAATCAAGGATACGAAAGTAGACGCTGTTGTTGATACAGGAGCTGCCGTAAGTTTCATATCGAGTAGGTTGATGAATCGGTTAAAACTAAAGATCGAGAAGAAATCAACTACGAATGTGGTATCTGTTACTGGTCTGAGAACGAGAATGCTGGGAAACATCAATAATATAAAGATATCTGTACAAGGAACCTTGATCCCGACGCCGCTCCAGGTAATTGACTCCAAAGACGAGACGTTGCTATTGGAAAATGACTGGTTCGAAAGAGTGAAAGCTAGAATTTACTATGACCAGCAGAAACTTGTGATCAGATACGATGGAAAGAAAATCAAGATTCCCATCACGAACGATAAAGCAAAAAGGATGCCGAATATTGAACATGATGGTAATGATAAAGCAAAAAAGATACCAAATACCGAACCTGATAGTGACGAGTCGACTGATGAAGACGATGCAGAAAAGATATTTGATGAGATCGTGTACGAAAAAAGAAGAAGTAAAAGAAAAGGAAGGATACTACACTGGGGAATCGCATAGTGACTCTGATCCCGAAAATAAAGTACAATCTGAGGAACCAGGTCCCGCGGCGTACTTAGCCCAGATGGATGAACAAGAAGAAGCTGATGATAATGACGATGTGTTCGTAGAAGCGATGGAAGAATTGCTAGCAGAGAAGGATGATGTAATGGTAAGAGAAGAATTACTGATGACGAGTAATGAAGAAGTGGTAGTAGAAAAGGAAGTTAGCGCAATGATGATGGGTGAAGAATTGACCAAAAGTCAAGTACAACAAGGAAAAGACATACTGACGAAAGAACGTGATGCGTTTGTGCAAAGCGTACAAGAGTTAGGACGTACTGATATAGTGCGACACGGTATCGATACTGGAGAAGCTAAACCAATTAAGCAAAATGCATATAGGGCAGCACCAGATATAAAAGAGTTTATTAAGAAAGAAGTCACGCAACTTATGGAAAGGAGTTTGATCCGAGAATCAAAAAGCCCGTGGACGTCACCGATCGTGGTTGTACCGAAGAAAGAAGGAAGGCTACGATTATGCGTCGATTATCGCAAACTGAATGCTGTAACTAAGAAGGATGCTTACCCCTTGCCCCGA